CCCCCCCCCACCCCCGGTAATAAGGAAGGTTCCAAAGAGATTGTTTGGTTGGTCCCCGCCCTCTGGGAAAGACTGCGCCTCCCCACCCAGAGAGAGCTCTCCTGCTAAGTTCATGAAATTTCTCTTTCCAACAGAGGGGCAAGAAGGCCATGAGTGAGGCTACTGTTGTTCTCGTTTAAAGATCACAGCGGCCTTCTTGGGACTGCCCCCTCTTTTTTAAAATTTCAAGTCTTTATTTAAATTCCAGCGAGGTAGCTCATAGTGTAATATCAGTTTCAGGAGTAGAATTGAGTGATCCGTCACTTACGTACGACACCCAGTGCTCACCCCAGCCAGTGCCCTTCATAATACCCATCCCCCATTTAACCCAGCCCCCTGCCCACCCCCTCTGAACTAGCTGGAAAGAGTCATATTCGGGGACGGGAGCAGAGGTGGTGGCGGCTTGCAGAGCTGTTGTTACTAGGTAGGGAGGAGGTGACTTTCCAGTATAAAACTATGGTGACAGAATTCTGGAAAGTCTCGGAGCTGCCTGAGCGACTCATACGACAAAATTTTAATAAAGCGCCTGTTGTGCCGTGGACTCAAGGCATGGCAATTAACAGTGCCTGGCAAATGGGTTGAGAGCTCTCAGCTTTTCCCAGCCAGAAACTAGGACCTCGTGGGCAGTCAGTTACAAGGACCAAGCTTGGACACTGGATGGGGAAAAATGTCATTCTGAAGGCAGCCAGTGCCAAACTATGGGAGGCTATCCGATCCCTTAGAGCAGATGGTCTTAACCAAAGGCCTATAGACCTAGAACCTGAGGTTGGGAGGGAGGGGGCGATTTTGAATTTGGATAGAAAAAAATTACCTTTATTTTCACTGACCTCAAGCTGAAATAATGAACGTAGGCAACAAAACACAAAAACATCATCAGTACCAGTGAATTTTTCAGTGATAGACATCACAGGTTTGCTTATCACATGCCAGTTGCTGCAAGGATCTTGAAATTTCTTTTATGTTCATGACTACCTCAAAATTCCAGTAGTTATTGGAACCACCATTAGGTCTGGTTATTTAATGCATGAACCAAGAAGCCCAGGTTACTAGATCACGTTTTTTATAATGTTTTGAGAATTGCATCATAATATGATGCATTTCCTTTGTAAGTCTGTGTATTTTATTTTGGGCATTTAAGGTATTATTCGGAGAAGGGGTTCCTGGGCTTCCCCAGACTGCCAACGGGGTCCATGACCCCCAAAATATGATGATTTATTGAGCCTCATTTTAACCAAATCATGCTGAGCTCTTAGTCCGTCAATGGCCCACCTCTAGATGTATTAAGAAAAAAAAAGCGGTATTTCTGTAAACTTCCTTCTTGGTCTTTCATATTTTCTCTTTGTCTCCCTTTGCATTTATCTTAACTTCTTGCAACAGACCCCTTTGACAAGTTCAAGCCCCCAGTTAAGGAAGTGAGGGCCGCTGGAATGCCCTAAAACGCTTGGCATCGTGGTGACAGCCACCATTTCAAGTCTGGATCTCAGAAAGAACAGGCAGAGATGGGGATTAGAGAGCAGAGGAAAGAGGTCCAGAGAGGAAGAACTGTGTAAGCTGATCCCTTTAGGGGTAGGGTCTATCCCACCCCAGAGAGACTTTGTGTGGCATTCAAACACAAGTGCCCACGCCGGTCTGGCTCTTCTGGGGAGCTCGCTTCAATAAAATGTTTCCATTTTTCGACCACAAAATGATTTGTTTTGAAATATTTTTTTTCTCTCTTCCTCTCCCCATCTCAAAGAACACTGTCTCTAGACAGGGATGAGGATAAAGGGCATATCCAACACTGAATATGTAAGATCCCATGTGAGCCTCCTAATATTAGCTTCTAACATTAGAATGTTAGCCTCCTAATAATGCCCACCCCCATCTTCCTAGCCTCCAGTCATCCTGGAAGAGCTGGAGGTGTGGAGTGGGAATGTTAGTGACCAATGATGGCACCTACGCGTCTTCAGGGGAAAAAACTCATAACAGATGTAAATGTTTTGTTTCTCCTGCATTTTCAAAAGTTTTTAAAAATTGCAGTGAAATACACATGACATCCAATCAACCGTTTTAACTATTTTTTTAAGTGTCCATTTTATTTTTTTAAAGACTTTATTTATTTATTTGACACACAGAGAGAGATCACAAGTAGGCAGAGAGGCAGGCAGAGAGAGAGGGGGAAGCAGTCTCCCTGCTGAGCAGAGAGCCTGATGCCAGAACCCTGAGACCATGCCCTGAGCTGAACGCAGAGGCTTAACCCTCTGAGCCACCCAGGCCCCCCTAAGTGTCCATTTTAGCAGCATTAAATATATTCAGTGTTGTGCAACCATCGCCAACCTCCATCCACCTCCAGACCTCTTTTCATCTTGTAAAACTGAAACTCTGTACCCAGTAAACAAGAACTCACCGTTTGCCCTTCCCCAGCCCCTGGCAACCACCACTCTACTTTCCATCTCTGAATTTGAGTCGCACTCAAATGGGTGAGTGGGCACTTCATGTAAGTGGAATTATGAACTCTTTGTCCTTCTGAGACTGGCTTGTTTCACTTACCATGTCTTCAAGTTCCACCTGTGTTATATCATGTGACAGGATTTCCTTCCTTGTTAAGGCTGAATAACATTCCATTGTGTGACTATTGTTAAGTAATGGTTCTATAAACATGGGTGTTCAAATGTATCTTTGAGATCCTGTTTTCAATTCTGTTGGATATATTCCCAGAAGTGCAATTGTTGGATCATATCGATGTTCCATTTTACTTTTTTTAAAGATTTTATTTATTTATTTGACAGAGAGAAAGAGAACACAAGCAGGTGGAGTGGGAGAGGGAGAAGCAGGCCTCCCTCAGAGCAGGGAGCCAAATGCGGGGCTCGATCCCAGAACCTCTGGATCATGATCTGAGCCAAAGGCAGATGTTTAATGAGTAAGCCACCCAGGCACCCATATTTTACATTTTTTTGAGGAACTGCTATACTGTTTTCCATAGCAGCTGCACTGTTTTACATTCCCACCGATAGTGTGCAAGGGATCAAATTTCTCCACATTCTCTCCAACACTTCTTTATTTTCTGTTTTTTGAATGTGATGCCATCTCACTGTGATTTTGATTTGCATTTTCCTAATGATTAGTAGTGTTGAGCATCTTTTTGTATGCTTATTGGCTTGTTGGCCATTTGTCTCAACTTCTTTTAAATCGATTCCATTTATCATTCCATTTATCTTCCTCTACTGGTTTAGATGTTATACATCCTGTTTCTATTATTTTAGCAATTATGCTACAAGTTACAACATGAATCCCGGGTCTTGGAGTTTACCGAGGTAGCTGTAGCATTTAACAGCGTGAGATATTAAAGATATTAAGATATTCACATCTGTTCAATAGTTACAGAGCAAATACTGATTATAAGACAGCAACTGTCCTTGTCAAGACTACAATGAGTCAAGTACCAACTCCTTACTATCTAGGAACAAAGATAAAACAATCATTAAGTCCACCATTGTACACAGTTTACACATCATACTGGACACACATACAAGTCACTATGATAGAAGACAGACTAGTAAGTGAAAGAAGGAGTCACAGTGAAGTGATATTAGGGTTTCAAGGGAAAAAATATCACACCAACTTGAGGGGATTGGGAAGGTAGAAAAGAGAATCAGTGAAACATGGTGAACAGGATGTGGATTCTGGAATTTGTGTAACTTGGACTGCAGTTCACTTTGTGACTTCCAACGAGTTCTGTGACCCACTCTAAGGCTCAGTATCCCCATCCTCTCAGCTTGGTCTTCAGTAATTGCTCCATACAGAAAAAAGTGTCCCTCCCTCCCTCCCTTCCTACCCTCTCTCCCTTTTCTCCCTCCCTTCTTAATTTCCTCCGTTCTTCTCTTTCTCACCCACTTCCTTCATTCCTCTCTCTCAGAGCTTTCCTCAGTGCCTCTCCTTCCCAAATGATGTTCAGAATCATGGCTGATTACTGAGCATCACTGAAAGTAATGGGAGACAAAATAGGGGGAAAGAGGAGGAAAAAATGCAGAGGGACAAGAAGGAGGGGAAACGTGAGAAGAGAGGAATGGAAAGACAGTTTGGGAGTGATGTGAAATAGTAAGACTCATGAGCTAGAATTGGGCAATGGCCCTGACAGACCCCTTCCGGTCCCCACCCCCCCACCCCCGTGGAGGGCCAACTTCCATTAGAGAATGGCTCTCCATCTGTCTTGTCTTTTCTGGGCTTGTATCACCATCTACCTAAACTGTTGCTATATCTTCTTTCCTGGCCCTCTATCTTCTACTCTCCATCCTCTCCAACGTATTCCACTGTTTCTGAAGTAAACAACATTATGACTGTGCTTTTTAAAAAAAGAAAAAATCTGGCAGTAGCACGGGAAATGGACCAGAAGGGAAGACACCAGCAGGCAAAAAGAGCAGACTAAAGACTGTACTCCAGACCAGAGGAGATCGAGCCTTCAACCATAGCAGTGGCAATGGAGATAGAAGCAGGAGAATGAATGGGAGAGAGATTCTTTTTTTAAAGATGTTATTTATTTATTTGACAGAAAGAGATCACAAGTAGACGGAGAGGCAGGCAGAGAGAGAGAGGGAAGCAGGCTTCCTGCCCAGCAGAGAGCCCGATGTGGGACTCTATCCCAGGACCCCGAGATCACGACCTGAGCCGAAGGCAGCGGCTTAACCCACTGAGCCACCCAGGCGCCCCGGAAGAGAGATTTTTTAGAAAGGGAAGGAAGTCTAAGAGAGCTCCAAAATATTGCAACAAGGCCATTTATTTTGAAGGCTAAAAG